AGCAAATGTGTTGCAATAACACTTAGGATGCTTATACCTAAGATCCAAACTCTCATTCTTTGACATCTTTGATTTTTGGGAAGACATCTTCTACATGGAAAAGATAAAAATAAATAAATAAATAAAATAAAAAAATTGGGACAAACAAACCATTACTGATTTTAATTCGAAAATGCCCTAATTTGCAAATGCCCTAATTTCACTAAACTTGATTTCTGTAAAATGAATTCAGCAAACAACAAACCAATACTGAGCCTCAACAAATTGAAACCCTAATTTCAAAAAATGATTTCAATTCGTAAATGACCTAATTTGAAACCATAATTTCAATTTATAATAAATTCAGGACCAAAACTGATTTCTATTGGAAAATACTCTAATTTGAAACCCTAATTTGAATAGAATCAGCCTAATATAAAAAATGCACAAAATCTACCTAATCTCAATAAATTGAAACCCTAAATTAAAAAATGCACAAAATTGAGGTTTGGATTTCTGAGGTTTGGATTGCGAAAACTTACCTCAAAGCGATTTGTTCCGGCGATTTGAAGAGAACCCTCTCAGCCTTGCGATTTGAAGAAAAAAAATTGGAAGAGCTCCTCTCGACGTTAACTGTCTACGATTTGAAGAAAACTCTCAGCCCAGGAAAGAGGAGTTCAATTTAATTCAGGTATTAAGGGGCAAAATAGTCATTTTCCTGAGTTTATGGCGAAAAAATGGAGAAAAAGTCGCACCACACGCGCGTGAAATGCACATCCGTCAAGTTAGACGGTTTAAGGGATAACTCGCAATCAAAAGTATAATACAAGAGGGTATGGCGCAATTTTTAAAATACAGGAGGATAACGCGCAGATTTCATATAATACAGGGGGATTTGGTGCAATTTACCCAAAAAAAAGACTCAATAGCTGTGCGGTTGGGGTTGATCGATCCCATGTTTATAACAAACAACTTCATCATCTCATTAATATCGAAAAATTGTTCTTCGTGTGAGATTTGTAGGTGGATTATTTGGTTTCATGATACTTATTAATTTGTGCCATATTATAATGGCCAAGTATATAATGGCCAACTATTATTATTCTGAGTTATAAAAAAAATTATATTTCCAAACCTCAACTGAGTATTAGCTCGACTTTAATAACTAAATAAGTTCAAGTTCGACTTATTTATCGTCTAACATCTTTAGTTTAGATGTAAGTTATATGTATGCCTATGCACAAACTATATATTATTTTAGTACTGTATTAATTTTTTTTTTT